TCTCGACGGAAGAGTCAGTCGGCGTGGAACAACCCGACGTGCATGAATCGCCGCAGTCTGTCGTCGGTGTGGAGCCCCCTGTGGGGGAGAAGGTTGTAGAATGGTCGTCGGCACTATTATCCACTTTCCCTTCTGGCACGGATTGCAAAGCGAAAGCTTCGCCCGGAAGGCCGTTCGTCGCAGCCGCTGCTGGCCCGACAGCGCACGACGCATCTGCCCGCTCCAGGGATGAAGCTCGAGTAGAATCCGATACCACACTTCCAGGCGTAGAAGATGAACAGGATCCACCCAAAAGTAGAATTTCCTCGACGTACTGCTTCAGCAACAACATTTTCTGGGCAGACGAAAGCGGGACAAGCAGCGGGTCCACGTCCTCATCTGTAGTTCTTGCGCTGGCGTCGATTTCATGATGCCGGTCCATCGCGTCCGAGTGCAAAGAAGTTGGCCTAGTTCTAACTACACAGGAGGCCGTCGTGATGGCGAAGTACGCAGGGCCGCTCCTCCCGGTATGATCGGTGGGCCGCGAATAAGTCACCCAAAGTTGTTCTTGTGAAGGTCCTTTCAAGGTCGTGCGTGCTGGCTTCAGCTGCGCCCCTGGTGTCGTTGGGGGAGTTTGTGCAACAGGTTCATCTCCTTGGTCAATGCCGGTCGCGGTCTGTTCTATCGCAGGCCTTGCAAACAGCGATGTGACCTGCTTTTGGCGCACGAGCGTAGAGCCGCAAGCCCGAACGAGCTCTTCGGCGAGTGAGTCGGGTAGCGTGACCAAAATAGTGTCCGGGGTCGGCCTGCGGATGATCAGGCTTGTTTGCGTCTGCAGCCGGCTTTCTACATGGTCCAAAGCAGTCACCATGCGTGTCGACTCGTCCGCGGGAGTTGGAGTTCGAGCATCTTTACCGCCATCGTCGCCGGACGTCGATGCAATGAGTGCAAGGGATGTAGTCATGTTGCTGTTGTCAGTGTAGATACGATAGTTCTACTGCGTCCTTGTATTACAATTACTATCGGCGAGTTTGAGTTTCTGGCTCTACGATGGCAGCACTGACTTCAAGTATCCTTTTCCCTGAAATCGAATTGCCCTTGATGTTACTACCACCTCCAGTTGTCGACGTGGTTCCTTTTTGCGTGCGTTAGAAGACCACAAGCTAAAAGATATGACGTTTCGTGCTTGTATACACTCAAATTCAACTTCATGTTTGTTCATCTTTCCAAATGTGATGCCTTCGTAGTTTTTCAGAGATTCACTCGGCAGTGACAGCAGATGGTTTTACAACTCATGTTTGTGCACTCGTGTCTGTCTCCCCTCGCTCCGGCAGCAGAACTTTGTGAACTCGAACAAATAATATCAATGTGAAAGTGCACTTGCACACCTTTACAACTGCACAACCGTGACCCTACAGTTCTACTGTCGTAGTTACCGCGTTGATCTCTGACGACGTTTTCTATGTACACGGATAGGTCGACGGAGTTGTGATCGGATACGTATTTGAATTTGTGGTCCCGTGCTCTGAACGCCGGTGCTGTCGTGTATAAATTCACCCTATCAGGGTAGCTCAAGACGTAATTATTGTGAGGCTAATCACTAGGATAATCAGGGGCCTGATGTTCGTGGTTCGTGTTTTAGTGTTGTCATTCTTGGTGTAGAACGTCATCACTTTACTTTATCCTTGCTCGCTCATCATCTTCATTTTTGTCATCGTGAATTGCTAATTTTATACCGAGGTGTGTGCTTGTTTGACCGATAGGTCCACAGAATTTGAAAGTGACATCTTCGACCTCGAAATAGGTTTCTGCAATCGAACAACTATATATAACATTAGACTTGTTACTTTCGCTCTTTCGTAGGTCTCGCCGTTGCCTTTGATGTTTTTCTTTTTATTATTCCCGCCAAGCCCTTCCCCTTTGCGCCTTTCTTCGGAACATTTCCCGGTTCTTCTACTTTCGGTGTTTTCAACATCCTCTCTTCGTTGCCGCCCGTGGCTTCACCTTCTGTCGGCTTGCGCCCGCTGCGCTCGTTTTTTGCCACCGCGGGTAGTTGTTCTTGTATCGCCGCGCTCTTCTTCTTCGTAGTACTACCTTTCGGCCGGCCCGGTTTGCGTCCGGGAACGACGTCTCTTCTTCGCCCACTTGCCGGCTTCCAGCCCGGCTCTCTTGCCCGCCGCGCAGCCCGTTATTTGTTGGAGTCCGCCATGATGATCGATAAACTCAAACTTTCAAAAAGTTTACTTTGTAAGTGCGCGGGATTGAGGCAAAAAGCCAGCGCGTGCTATTTCCCCAATAGGGTGACTTGTAAGTACAGCTGCAGTTCTCAAGGGCCGTGTTACCCTAGTACCTATCCGGGAAAGACAAGGGGGCAGTTTCGGATCGGTCGGTCGGATCAAAATGTTACATGGAACTCATCCTTGCATAGTATTCTTCATTTTGATATCGTTCATGGAAAATGAAGATTCCCAGCTGGTGGTCCCTCTTCAAGTCTAGCTTTGCTTTATATCAACTTTGTCAAATAAAATCTGTTCCTGGCCACAAGAGGCGTTTTACCATACTTGATTCACACAGAAAGGCGTGCGAAGATAAGCTCAAACACGTCGAAATAAGGCAGAGACGGCAGTAGAACATCGACATCATTGCCTTTCTTCTACCTTCCTCCCACGCTTGCACTTCATGCCGTAGAAGTTCACACTTCGCAAAGCGATTATGCGAGTCCTTGACCTGCTATTTCGTCTTGCCAATAGTTAATCTATGCCTTAGTAGAAGAAATTTCATCGATGTTTAAGTGGGATACTCGTGTCATCGATAAAGAAGTCTGCGGCTCATCCGAGATTGTCAAATCTTGCTTTCACCTCTCGGCAGAAAACCGCATCGAACTCGCCCACGTCTAGAGCCAGCGCACGGATCTCGTGGAATAGCCGATCAATCCGCTGGGAAGCTTTCTTCAAATCGCGGAGTTGCGGTCCTTGCTGTTGCTCGCTGGGGTTGGACGTCTTCTGCAGTTCTCCGTGGGCAACGTGCTTGTGATTCCTGCCAAGGGTGTCTGTCCCATTCGGCGCATATCCTGTGCAAAAGCATCGCACTCGTACACCAACTTGCAATCTTCATGCAAGGTACGACATGTGCTCGTTGTCGTTCCTGAGGTGACTAAGCATGACAAACTCCATATTTGATGCTGTTGACTACTTAAATTTGTGATGCGATGACTCCCAGACCCAGTACGAGATAACTTTTGCAGTGCATATGATCATCGCAGCTTCTTCCATTTCCTGCACCTTCCTCTGCAGCAGTTTTCGCAGCTCCGCGAGGTCGTCGAACGTGGTTGAAAATTTCGTCGCTAAATCCCATAACTGCTGGAAGCGACGGAGCATCTCGTTTTTCTGAAAATAACGGAAAAAGCACAGATAGGAGAAGAGAGACGGCGGGATCTTGACCACGTTACTAGTTGTACAACTAGGGGGGATCCTGTTCTCATCTTTCTTTTCGTCCTTCTCGCGGAGACGACAACTACTATTCGCAGCTTCTTTGCCGATTGTGGTCCACCCGGAATCATTTTTCCCAGTCGTGCAAGAAAAGAAGGTCGAAACGCAGTCCCCGCTTTTCGTCCAGGTCAGCAGCAATTCCAACCCGTCCTCGATCTGTTGCATCTGCACGTAATGCGAAAGGAGACTGTTTGTCAAACTGGAAATCCCGAAAATCACGGTCTGCAACTGGTCGCGGAGTTCATCTGGCCGTGGTATGGAATGATCTTGGCTGCTGGTGTGCGGGGAGAAGGCGAAGCCATCATGTGGGTAATTTTTATACCGGTGTTGAAAGAGATCGTCCCGAGCAACTGCACGTGAAAAGTTGTCCACTGTCGTCCCTCGCCCTTCATCTTCTAGAACCGGACACCTTGTTGAAATAACTGGTGTAGTAGTTGTACCGCTTCCACTATCAAATGCAAATATGCCTGGGTCTGGAAACTTGTGATGCGCGATAGATACAGTCCCGAATGCAACCCAGCATGACAACTTTCCAGAACGCTTTCTCATAGTCAATCCGGATGAGAAACTGCGTCTTTGCATGTACAAAAGAGGCCGCGACTTTTGCCGGTTATGCAATACAGATTTTCTACGTATGGAACGCTAGCATTACAAGTTCCAACCTTCCAGACCCAAACACTTTTTACAATCCATATCCACCTCCCGCCCAGACACTGGCGTACAAGGTCGCTTGTTTTGGCGAAGAAAATAAGCTTGAGGCGGACCGTGTTGATGACAGGCTTCTCTCGACCACATCAGTCTTGCTCTTGTTGCGTCGCGATGGAGATGAGGACCACATCGTGCCGTCCGCGCTAGTACACGACAAAAGAATGTCGCTCACCTGCAGTTCTTCATCGCGGAGGTGGTCAATCTTTGATATTTCGGCTCCACCTTTTTCACGACCGCTGCTACCAAGAAAACCGCTCTCAGTTCGTGGATTGTCTTTGTCCTCACGTCCTTCCCGCAGGCGAGTTCGGGCCTGCCTCGCGGCTGAGGCCGCAAAGTGACGCAAGGGCGCGTCGTCGGTTTGGCGTTCATTTTCCGCTCGTCGCATTTCGTCGCGTTGCTTCAGTATTTGGAAAGAGTTGTCGAAATCGCTCAGGTCCTTGGCAACCGCTTCTCTCGCGTATTGCCAAAATTTTCGGAGATTGCGCTCGAGAGCATCTGCATTATCGTTATCGTCTTGTGCCGTATTGTTCTTTCCAAAGGGCTGTAAGAAATCGTGGTTGGTCTTCATGATCTCCAGCTTCTGCTGCTGAAAACACCGCACCAGACAGGACACCGCAAACGCGAGCGACGTCACCATCGGGGAAATGGCCGCCGGAGGCACAGGCCTCAAAGAATCAAGGGAAGGACCCATGTAGTCGTGGGCCTCCTTTTTGTGCGCGAGAAAATCTTTTTGGCGCTGCTGTGTATTTTCTTTCATCCGCACCCCTCTCACAAGCCGCCACAGCTTCATGGCCATCTGCTGCAAGTCCTCGCAAGAATTTTTACTCCCGCTTGATGTCGTACTCGCTTGTTGCTGTTCACAATGCCGCGCCAGCGCTGGTAGTAGGTCCCGGGTTGCAATTTTGCAGTCCACGTCGAACGCTTTCTGGGCGTGGGGTGCTCGACTGGTACTGTCCCTTCCAGAAGCAACCTCATTTGACGAAGCACAAGTCCTTCTCGTTCGACTGCGACCCGACAGGGAACGATCCGAATTTCTGCAACTCGCTCCTGCTATTTGCACAAACCGTAAGTAGCAGCACACCAGGGGTTTCAGCAGCATTTTCTCCGCGCTGAGGACACTGAACAAATGCTCCAGAAGGGACAGGTGATTTTCGTTTATTCTCAGTGTGGGTAAACTCATGCTCAGGGTCGTGTTTAGCCACAGTGTAAGTGGGCTGCAATTCGTTGACCTTCTTGAGAAGTGCCCTCGTCCTTGATGCGTGTTGGCGGAGTCAATGCCAACATCCTCTTCTTCGGGGTTATCCAGGCCAACGGTCGCACAGAAAACGCGAATGGCCCGGCTGATTTCGGGAGCAGCAGACGCAGAGGAGATTTCGTCTTCTCTGGTTGTTGTAGGTGTAGCTGCAGCTGCTTCTTCCCCAATAAGTTGGAACGAAGTGTTCGTGCGAGAACTGTTTGCGCCACTTGATCGTTGATTCGACGTCCCGGTCTTTCTTACTCCTCTATAGTACCGGACTTCCCCTGCGTAGGCCTGCAGCAGTACCGCGGCGGACCGCGGACTCGAAAGGAAATCCTGACATCGCATGGCATCCCAGAGTTCAAAGGCCGCATTGGTCTTGCCACCGGCAAGAACTAGCCCGTGAATGTAGGAATAGTAGAGAGCCTCGAGAAGACGCTCAGAGGAAGGTGGGGCTTTCATTGCAGATGTGATGCGGCTGGTCTCGTCCTCTCTGTCACCGATGGATGAACTCGGATTTTTTGCATCGCTGTCGCCGTTGTGTTCTTCAGGTTCAGACCGCATGCTGCCACGACCAGAGCTCTGCAGGATCATGACCTCCGGCATCCGTTGCGGTAGTTCCTCTTGTTCCTTATTCGTCTTCTTCAACCTGTGCCTCTGAAACCGAAAAATCTGGTCCGCAGCTGGCACATCTCGATTCTTTGCGAGAACGTGTACCAGGCGACAACAGAGAGAGTGAGGGAGAGAAGAAGTTTCTGTAGGTTCATCTGCACAAAAATATGCTAACTGAGAGTCAACATCACCTTCACCCTTCCCCAAGCTGGACCCCGTCGACGTTCTTGAATTAGAGCCCCTGTAGTTCGCCAGGTGAGTTACAGCCTCGCGCAGAGCCGATTCGTATTCGGTTATTTTTGGGTCGCCCTGATTTCCGTCCTCGAAATGATCTTGGCTACGCTGATTTTGACGGAAAGCCGCCGCCGTCTGTCGGTGACAGTGACTCGCTGGCGCAGTTTCGCTGGCCGTCCTTCCCTTCGCAGCCGAAGCCGTGGCGATGGTGCCGAAGTGTCGTCTTCGCATAGGATTCGTGGCGCTGCCGCCCCTTGGTGCAGCATCAGTGCGGAATAAAGTTGCCTCGCACAACTGTTGGACCACATCCGAGTCACGCTTGGTCGTGGGATGAATATCCTTTCCTCTGTAGGCCGCAGCTGCATCGTGTTGGAGTCTATTCCTCGTGTTTGCAGCAGCAAAGATTTTGCCGGCCGCTTCTGCGGTTTGCGGTTTGTTCCCACGCTTATTTGGTTGAACAACCCAAAGCTGCCGTCCTCGTCGCAGGACGGCGTGCACGAACCTTCCTGAGCCCTTGTTTTCACCATACTGACAGGAGAGCATGGCCTGCCCCTTTCCATCTTGCGCGGTCGAGTTTCTCTTTCTGAAGAAGAGTGGCGTTGTTTTGCCGAAGGTTGCAGTCGTGGTGGAGTTCGCAAACTAAGAAAACGATATACGAAGTTTACTCTTTTGATCTCTACTCTGTTGATCTACTTTCTCGAGGTGGAACAGCAAGCAAAAATATAAGATCACGTCGACGCTTACGCTTTTGCAAATAATCCCAGCGAAAAAGAGCCTCACATCGATGATCCGTGTCATGGTGTAGCCCGAGCCTTTGCAGCGGGCTTCGACGAAAAAAAGTAGGGGCACATCAACACACGACATTTCTTGCACGTGCACTTGAATAATGATCGGACATTAAGAACGAAAAAAACTACGAACAGCTCATTTATCATATAGGCGATCTGCTACTTTGAACTAGAATTATTAGATCTACAACTGGCTGCGAACAGGGAGAGCAGTGGAAGATTCCTGCTGGTGCTAGTACTTGCAATCACGAGATGAAAGTGCTGCCAAGAAGCGCGAGAAATGCAGAACTTATCTTCATTGTGCTCCGACACACCCTTCTACTTCCCGTTGAAGTCGAGCTTGGACCGCCACTGTGACTTGCGCACGTGCTTGCGTCTTACACTTCCAGTAGTTTCTCTTTCTAGTTTTTTCACCAACACCACGCACATGCACACGTTGGAATTCGAAATCGAAACATCACCTGGATGCACTCTAGAAATTGTACAACGCTTTCGTTAATTCGAGTCGCAGACTTGGAGGAACTAAGTTCTCTTCCGCTGCTAGGATATGCAGTGCAAAAGTATCGTACTCGTATAAATGCATATACAAATTTCCTCAGCATGAGAAATAAAATTTGTAATGCTGATCTACCTCAAGAAAAAGATTTGTAATTCATGCTTGCAATACGAATACGATACTTTTGCACAGGATATAGGAACTCGTTGAACCACTGCAGTTTGTAGGCCAGATGCGCCGTGGCTTCGCGTCCGCTGACCAGGAGATCCGAAACTTCAATGTATAGTTGTATACAATGCAAAAGTATCGTACTCGTCATGCATTACAAATTTTCATCGTAAGGCAGATCCGCATTACAAATTCAATTTGTAATGCAAACCCAATTTGTAATGGAATTCATACTAGTACGATGCTTTTGCACAGGATACAAGGTCCTGGTTGACAAAAGCCGTTGCAATCAGCTCCATCCGGTGCTTCGCCACGAAGTCCGATCGTATTGCAGTCATGCATTACAAATCCCTGCGTCAAGGAAAATCAGCATTACAAATTTTATTTCTCATGCTGAGGAAATTTGTAATGCATTTATACGAGTACGAGACTTTTGCAAAACATACGAGTCCCAGAACCGCGGTTTTTACAAAGGATATTCCTGCATGCTGATGATGTTTCTCATGCAGAGCCCCATGAGAGGCATTTTCTAGTCGTGCTTCGGAATTTGTCATGCTCCGTTCAGCATAGCAGGCTAGATCGCTGTAGCAAACGGTGGACTGCTCTCGCTGTTCCTGCAATACAGTTTTTTTATAGAATCCAGAGGCAGCATCACAGGTTCCATCTTTCCACACCCAGGCATATTTGGAACGCATACAGCACCCGGTCCCACTCCCGAACGGTTCGGATCAGGTCGGCGGTCGTGGAGATGGGGACTTTGTTGGTTGTTGTAGTAGCTTATGCAATACAAATTTCCCGTACATCTACAACATGCATCAAAACAAATTTTACCATCCGGTGTTTCGCCACGCAATCAGCTCCATCCGGTGCTTCGCCACGAAGTCCGAGGTGATGATGAGCTTCCTGATGCCAGTTCCGCATGACAAGTGCCCTCCCCGCGTAGCACAAACTGGGCGCCTCTTGCTGGTCATGCAATACAGATTTTTTTAGAGTCCAAAGTTAGCATCACAAGTTCCAACTTTCCAGACCCAGACTCAGACATTTTTACAATCCATATCCCTCGCGGCCCTCTCTGCTGTCTCTCTTCGTCCCGCAAAATCTTGCGGTAGTTGTGCGCCAACAGGGAGCGAAATTTGGGCTGCAGCAGGAGTAAGTTCTCCTGGCTCGTCGCGGCATTTCTACCGGATGAAGCTCGCTGCTGTTCTACTTCTACAGAATCTAGTACACCCCAACCGCGTCGCCCGGAACTCTGCATGGTACCATTGTCGCAGGAGCCGCCCCTGCTGTCAACATCTCCTGCACATGCTGCTCCACGACCTCCAGAGCATATTAAAAGACCACCCGGATTTGAGCGCTGCTGCTGGCGGTACATAGCCCAACAGGGTCCGTGGATTTTGGCCTTGCAGGTTGGGCTATCAAATGTAAAAATGTCTGGGTCTGGAAGATTCTGAGACTTGTCATGCAAGTTTGGCATGAGCCATGATATCTGTGATGCATGCCCTAGCATCAGAGATTTTTTGAGGGCTTCTGGATGCCTATTCCGCATGACAAATGCCCTCTTCCCGTAGCAAAAAGACACTCCCTTTGCTGCTTATGCAATACAGATTTTTTTGGAATCCAAATGCAGCATCACAAGTTGCAATCAGCTCCATCCGGTGTTTCGCCACGAAGTCAGAGGTTGGAACCGCAAAATGAAAATGGTGAAAGTAGAGGAAATCTACTTCTGATGGTGATGACACCGTCGTGGTCACCGCAGCAGCTTGAACTTGATGATTCGCAGCTGTTGCAGTTGTGGCGTTCAACATCGCGTTGCCCTTGATGTTACTACCACCTCCAGTTGTCGACGTGGTTCAGGTCCTTGGCAACCGCTTCTCTCGCGTATTGCCAGAGTTTTCGGAGATTGCGCTCGAGAGCATCTGCATTATCGTTATCGTCTTGTTGGATATTCTTTCCAAAGGGCTGTGAGAAATCGTGGTTGGTCTTCATGATCTCCAGCTTCCGCTGCTGAAAACACCGCACCAGACAGGACACCGCAAACGCGAGCGACGTCACCATCGGGGAAATGGCCGCCGGAGGCACAGGCCTCAAAGAATCAAGGGAAGGACCCATGTAGTCGTGGGCCTCCCTTTTGTGCGCGAGAAAATCTTTTTGGCGCTGCAGTGTATTTTCTTTCATCCGCACCCCTCTCACAAGCCGCCACAGCTTCATGGCCATCTGCTGCAAGTCTTCGCAAGAATTTTTAGTCCCGCTTGATGTTGTATTAGCTTGTTGTTGTTCACAATGCCGCGCCAGCGCTGGTAGTAGGTCCCGCGTTGCAATTTTGCAGTCCACGTCGAACGCTTTCTGGGCGTGTAGTGCTGCTCGACTGGTACTGTCCCTTCCAGAAGCAACCTCATCTGACGAAGTACAAGTCCATCCTCGCGTTGCCCTTGATGTTACTACCACCTCCAGTTGTTGATGTGAGCAGGCTTCGCCGAACCGGCCGGGAACCTCTTGAGGCAGTGCATTAGAGTAGAAGAAAAAAAATCCGCTTCCCCAGCCCTTTCGCCACATCCTTGTCCGGACACTCCGGCATCATGTTGCCCATGAAGGGCAAAATGTCCTTTTTCCCCTGCAAGACAGCGCGCCGAAGAGCAACGCGGCGACGCGCATTCCAGAGAACCCGCTGCCCGCGCCCTACCGCTGCTTGCCGTCTGCTGATGTATGTCATTTCCACCGCGACGAGCCGTCGGCGTCGTGCCTGCACGTCAACCCGCTCATGAAAAATTTTGAAATTTTGGCTGTGGTGGATTTTTTCGTTTGGTAAGAACCGAATCGCATTTACCTTCTGTGGAGCAGTGCGTAAACGATGGAAGGAGGATTGCCTACCATACGGCTAGTAACAAGTACATTGCTCTTTATGTTTAATTGTGTTACAACTGGTTTGTAAAAAAAAAACTGGAAGAAATGCTGTAGGAAAAAAAAAATGTTGTCGAAAAAGAACTATAACTTATCCTCCAGGAGAGCAAGGACATTTTCATAAGAAACAGCTCCAAAAGCAGAACTTCCATGAATGTAATACTACTTGATAAAAACAAGACTCTAGTAAAACTGGGAGGCAGTGACTCACTTCGGCATCCTACACAGTGGCGGCTTTGTAATAAATAGCACGATGCCGAACGAGGAGCATGGAGTCTCTGTTTTATTTGTAATCCGGGGATACCGACGGGTGATGAGTAGCGTTGCATTTAATGTACTGGAGGTTGTGGGTGTCCTAGTCGTTCTACGTATAGAATGTGAATGAATTCCGATCAAAGAAGCAGTCTTCGTCTGAACCATACTTCTCCTACCTCAAAAATCCGCTAGCGTTGGTGGCACAAAAAATAGACTGCCTCTACCTGCAGTCCTGCTCCGATTATCATGCGACTAGTAACAAGCACCAGCCTACCTTGTTTCTGTTGTGTTTGTGGTTTTCAAAAAAAATCGCATAAAATGCTGCAGAAAAAAAACGGCAATTGAAGGAAGTAGAAGGGAAAAGAAAAGCGTCGCCAGTTGCCTCGTCGACAGGCGCTTCGATCTGTTGTGAGTGAAGAGAGGCGGGATTTTCTCGTGCCTGGACATCGAATCAAACACCGCTTGAGTCCTGTGGGAAAATCTCCTCCCCCGACAATCACACTTATGAGGTCTGCAACATATGCATAGCGATCAGTTGCATAAGTGCAACTAATCAAAATCATGATGCTGCAGACATCTGATGACTTCAATCTGTTCAATCTTCTATATCACAGTGCTATTGTTCTTGCTGTTGCAGAAGCGGAGCTATAAATTAGTCACTAAGTAGATCAGATTACTAGAAACCCGGCAAAAACCCTGTGGACCAGTGCGTAAACGATGGAAGGAGGATATCCAAAAAAAAAATGTTAACATTAACATTTTCACTAGTCAACTTTTTCGCATATTTTCGTGTGATTTTTTTTTCATGCCAAGTAGTGCACTACTTTAGCTACTCCAAATAGAACCCACGGCCAACTAGCTAGATTTCTATGCTATTGCTGAGAGCTAGCTAGGCTAAGGGCTGCCGGCGCGGCGGACGTGAAGGAAAACAAGAGGCGCGGCGGACGTGAAGGAAACGACGTTGCCCTTGATGTTACTACCACCTCCAGTTGTCTCGACGGAAGAGTCAGTCGGCGTGGAACAACCCGACGTGCATGAATCGCCGCAGTCTGTCGTCGGTGTGGAGCCCCCTGTGGGGGAGAAGGTTGTAGAATGGTCGTCGGCACTATTATCCACTTTCCCTTCTGGCACGGATTGCAAAGCGAAAGCTTCGCCCGGAAGGCCGTTCGTCGCAGCCGCTGCTGGCCCGACAGCGCACGACGCATCTGCCCGCTCCAG